ATGTCCAATGTTGAGAACCAGAACCACCTGCCCATGCCACCTTCATAGTAATAGAATAGACCCTTGGTCTCCCCAGTCTCTGCCAGATCCTTCTGATCTGGCATCACCAAGACAAATGCTGGAGTGGGCTCTCCTTGGACAAATCCTTCCTATGATCATCCCACTACCTCCGCTCCCTGCCTTAGTGGTTTGGGCCATTGGGCTCACCCACTGCCCTTGGCCCTCCCCTTTTGTTCCAGCCTCTCTGGATGGGTTCTACAACAGCCGCAGCCTGGATGGTGAGTCTCCACCCTTGAGGGCCACATAAGTGGTCTCCCTGGTCCTGGTTCTCACGGCTCCCAGGTCATGGGCTTCCCAAGGATGGAAGGCAGAGAAAGAGAGGGGTTTGGGCCTAGCAGGGTAAAAAGTTTCCCTGCACCCAGTCAGCTAGAGGGAGCTGGTAGCCAGATGCCCTTGGGCAGAGGTGAGAGAATATGGGATCCAAGTGACAGAGACCTCTGCTCCAGTCCCACCCTCTGTGTCTTCAGTTGCCAAGGCGCCTGCTGCCTCCAGCACCCTGGATGCTGCCCACATTGCAGCTGCCATCTTCTTGCCACTGGTGGCGATGGTGTTGTTGGTAGGAGGTGTATACTTCTACTTCTCCAGGTGAGTCTGGTTTCTCTTTCTGCTCTGCATACCTGCATACTTCACTCCTACCCAGTGCTCCTGACTCACAGGCTTCTCTGCCCCACAGGCTCCAGGGAAAAAGCTCCCTGCAGCTGCCCCGCACACGCCCCCGCCCCTACAACCGCATTACCGTAGAGTCAGCGTTTGACAATCCAACTTACGAGACTGGAGTAAGTAACCATGCCAACCTTGCCACCTTATCCAAGACCCAGTTCTTTGCTTCTTTGGGCAGATAACCCTGAGGGTCCTGCCAAGCCCTCTCACTTTTTTTCCTTTTCCTAGGGAAGGTGAATTATGGCCTGGCAAACCTAATACAAGTTTCCAACTCCCAGCAGTCTCTTTCCTTTGCAGGAGACGAGAGAATATGAAGTTTCCATCTAGGTGGGGGCAGCCTAGGGAAGCCAACTCAGGCCTGCACCACAGTCCAGCAGCAAGGCTCCTTGTTTCCTGCTGTCCCTCCACCTCCTGTACATACCACCTGGGAGGAGATGCCACCAATCCCTCAAGAAGTTGTGCCCTTCCCTGCCTGCAATGCCCACCATGGCCTATTTTCTTGGTGTCATTGCCCACTAGGGGCCCTTCTTTGGGCCCATGTCAGGGGGCATCTACCTGTGGACAGAACACAGCTGGAGCACAAGCATCAACAGCCAGCATCCTGAGCCTCATCATGCCCTGGACCAGCCTGGAACACACATGCAGAGCAGGAGTACCTTTCTCCATATGACCACCATCCCGCCCTGGCATAGCAACCTGCAGCAGGGTCAACTTGACCATGGTGGAAACTGCACCAGGGTGCTCCTCACAGGGCCATCACCAATGGCCAAAACTCCTCTCAATGGTGACCTCTGGGTAGTCCTGGCATGCCAACATCAGCCTCTTGGGAGGTCTCTAGTTCTCTAAAGTTCTGGACAGTTCCGCCTCCTGCCCTGTCCCAGTGGAGGCAGTAATTCTAGGAGATCCTAAGGAGTTCAGGGGGACCCTACCCCCACCTCAGGTTGGGCTTCCCTGGGCACTCATGCTCCACACCAAAGCAGGACACCCCATTCTCCATGACCGCCCTATACCCTGAGGAGAGGGAGACTTTCCTCCGATGTTTATTTGGCTGTTACAAACATCTTCATCCCAATAGTCCCTCCTCCAATTCCAGCCACTTGTCAGGCTCTCCTCTTGGCCACTGTGTTACGGAATAAGGGGAGGGGGTGGGCATATTCTGGAGAGGAGCAGAGGTCCAAGGACCCAGGAATTTGGCATGGAACAGGTGGTAGGAGAGCCCCAGAGAGACACCCAGGAGCTAGCTGAAAACCACTTTGTACATGTAATGTATTATATGGGGTCTGGGCTCCAGCCAGAGAACAATCTTTTATTTCTGTTGTTTCCTTACTAAAATGGTGTTTTTGGAAAAAAAAAAAAAAAAAAAAAAAGCAATGGCCAGGTGAATGATGCTTTCTTGGAGGGACAGGAGGTGGGAGATAAATGGGATATGGACTTCAGGACCAGAAGGCATGCTAGACCCACCAACCAGTCATCCTCAGATTTTTATTACTACTGTTTTTGAGATAGGGTCTCACTCTGTCATCCAGGGTGGAGTGCAGTGGCTGGCTCACAGTTCACTGCAGCCTTGACCTCCAAGGTTCAAGTGATCCACCTCAGCCTCCTGAATAGTTAAGACTACAGGTGCAGACCACCACACATGGCTAATTAAAAAAAAAAAATTATTGTAGAGACAGGGTCTTACTATGTTGCCCAGGCTGGTCTCCAACTCCTGGGCTCAAGTGGTCCTCCCACCTCAGCCACCCAAAGTGCTCAGATTTTATTTTAAAAGAAATTATTACATGCAGTTGAACGGGGTCCCCTGTCCCAAAAGAGACAGTGCAACAGATGGCAGGCAAAATCAGAGGCCCCAATGGCTGGTGTTGCAGGGATGTGGGAGCCCAGGAACCCCACTGCACATCCACCCAATGCCTTATTTCCCCCTTCTTACCAGGTCCAGAACTATAGGCTGGCATACTCCCAAATCCCTTCTCAATGCCACTGATGCCCTTCTCAATGCTAACTAGGCTCAGGAAGCCTGATGCATCTCTCCTTACCCTTATTTCTAAGTAAGCAAGACTTGGGAAATTGGAATAGGAAACAGAGACTGATTCCCCAGAACATGAAGCCCTAATCTGGCTTGGCATTAGAAAACAGATTGTCGGGAGCAGTGGTAATGCAGCTTAGGGGCTTGGCTCCTAAGTTAGGCAAAGGCGCTAACCATGGGCTCTGGAAAAAGATGGCTGGGAGGATCTTCTTAAGTTTGCCCCTTCCCTATGGGCCCCAGTACCTACCAAGATGGAAAGTGCCCAGCGTCGCCCCCCAGTATGCACATTCCATGCTGAGAGGTGTGCCCTGCGTCACTGCTCTCCAAGAGTAACAGCAAGAGGCAGGCAACAGGAAATTATGGGAGCTCGGAAACCAGTAGAGGAAAATTCACGAAAGAAATAATAGCAGCAACCAGCACCTTCTGCTTCTACAGTGTTCCAACAGGGAAGTCTTGACCACTCATGCTGCCTACCCCTGGCTCTAGCACAAGCCACCTTGAAGGATGAGAAGCTCTTGTCAATGCAGAGTGCAGTGCCTAGATTAGCCACAAGAGGTCACTTCCAAAGGCATCTGTATCCCACCTGCTCGCTCCTCAATCCCCCCTGAACTGTCAGGGCGGGAGCTCTCCAAGGTGGCACCATTCCTTGGCCCCACTGGCCTAACCTCATCCTCCAAGTTCCAAGAGGAAGGTGTGTGAAGTTTCCCTGGCTCTTGTCAACAGAGTCAAGTCTTATTTCCCTCATTAGCCCATAGTTCCTATTATCAGCTGCAACTGATGGTGCTGATCAAAGCAAAGCCTTGTTCAGTGGATGGACACCAATGGCTTACTTATCTGTTCCATAATGCCTTCAGGCTGACACAGCAGCACAGCTGGGCCCTGAGCAGTAGGAAAAAAAGCCAAAGAGAGAGGGCACATGAGGTTCTAACCTCTGAGAGCCTGTGGCATAAAGTATAGCCGTAGGAGATAGAAATTCTTGCCTCTTTCATACAAACAATCTAGCTCAGCCCTCCCCTCTCTGAGGGCCACATCTCTGGTCCACAGCCACTGAAGTTTATTGTTGGCTCAGGCTAGTAGAAAGCAGAGAGCAGCCAATTCACATGACATTCTCCACCCCACCATCCACGACCTTATCATTCTTTCCAGGCACCAAGAGGGTCATCAGAAAAGCGAAAAGTCAGGAAAACAGAAACCTAAGACTCTGTACACTGACATCCCTACTCTACCTAATTCATCCTCCTTACTGTACCCAAAGAAAGCATAGCAATTCCTTACACACAGTCGACATGGTGTAATGGACAGTGTCTGGCTTCAGAATCAAGAAATCTAATTCTTAGGTCTGCCATAAATGCACTATGTGACCTAGGCAGATCACTGCTCCTCCCTGTGCATCTAGAAACGAAGGGATTAAATCAGATGGTCTCTAAATCCTTTCTAGCTTTACGACTCTGAGAATGCTAAGTGTCCCTTAACATTAAAAGTGGGCCGAGTAGGCCGGGCGCGGTGGCTCAAGCCTGTAATCCCAGCACTTTGGGAGGCCGAGACGGGTGGATCACGAGGTCAGAAGATCGAGACCATCCTGGCTAACACGGTGAAACCCCGTCTCTACTAAAAAATACAAAAAACCAGCCGGGCGAGGTGGCGGGCGCCTGTAGTCCCAGCTACTCGGGAGGCTGAGGCAGGAGAATGGCGTGAACCCGGGAGGCGGAGCTTGCAGTGAGCTGAGATCCGGCCACTGCACTCCAGCCTGGGCGACAGAGTGAGACTCCGTCTCAAAAAAAAAATAAATAAATAATAAAAATTTTAAAAAGTGGGCCGAGCACAGCTACGAAGCAACAACCCCAACTAAACCCCTAGTGTCAAGCACAACGATGCAGTTCTCTTCTCCACTGCTTCATCCACCCTCAGGCAGCAATAACCGCCCATCTCTGACGGCGATACCAAGGGGAGGAGCTGGCGCCCTGAAAAGGAGCATGAATCCCCGCCCAGAATGTGAGGCGGGCCCTCAGACTACAAATCCCGGCATGCAAGCACTGACGCTCTCAAAAGTATCCCTTCCTAGCCGGCAAATGACTTCCCTGGGTCTATCCTACCATAGAGTGCGTCGCACGCACGTGGAACTACAGCTCCCACAATCCATCAGACCTATCGCGATTCTTGCTCCCAGGGTGCAATGGACCCCCCCCCCCCGTTCGCCCTTTACACCCTTTGGCATTGCAAACTGGGAGTTGGAGTCCGGGGTACGCAGGTAGCTGGGCGTTGTCAGGATTACAAACTCTACGCTTTAGGCTTCCTCTTGAAGAGCAGATCTCAGGGACAGTGGTGAACAGAGGGTGGTAACGGTCAGGCGGAACTCTCCACAGTGCCACCACCACGCAAGGCAGGGATGCTCAGGATACAATTAACTGATAAAATTAACTGTCAGGATGGGAGAGAATTAGGAACCACAGTCATCCAACACGCCACCAAAAGCGTCATTTTCTGTCGCAAATGGCTTTTCTCTTTACCAATATGGTGGCCTGGTCCAGCCACACCTGATGCTAGAACCGAACAGTCCAGTATAACATCCCTAGGAACACTGCTGTCACCGACAGGCGACCAGCTCCATCCAACACCACACCTTGTTCCTTTCTGTTCGTGCCTGAGGACTCCAAGGGCATGATAGCCCATATCCCATTACCAAAATGGCGAAAGGAACAGCCTTCTTGTGAGGGCCTGCGGAAGACAATACGCCTGCGCGGGAGGCGTCTGTGTTACGAAGTGGGAGGGGAGCACTCCCAACACGCCTGCGCAAGACAGAGTCGTCTTAGTTTGCACACAAACACCAATGGATGAAGAGTCCCTAGCTTCCTGCGGCTGCGCCTTGACCCCTACAAGCTTTCCCAAGCGCCTGCGCGAGCCCTCAGGTCCCGCCCTTTTGTCTCAGTGCGCTGGCGCAGGGCAGAAAGGTGGGGCTTCGGTCCTCCAGACGAATGCCAGCGCGGCTGCGCGCTGGGGGGTACTCCCTCACCGCGGCTGCGCGGGAGCCAGGCCGCCGGCTGTCACTGCGGTTGCGCGCGGCGAGCGCCGAACCTGGGGCGCCTGCGCGGGTGGCTTTGCGGGCGCTCGCGGTAAGTTTGCGCCAAGTGCGCGGCAGCCGGGACGCAGACGGCGGCGGCGGCGAGAGGCGGAGCCCGGGGACCACCCCCCATCACCCTCCCCCCAGTCACCTCACGTACCACAACCTCACCTAACCTCTTACCCCCCCCCCCGTCCGATACCCCCAGCCCCGGGATGGCAGCGCCCGCCAGCCTTCCCGGCCGGACCGGCGGTCGCCAGTGCCGGCTTTAGCCTGTGGGACTAGGCCCTGCCGAGGCCTGACCCCTGGAGCCGGGACCCACTGTGCAGCCAGCAGCCGGGCCGGGACTGAGGGGCTGCTCCCCCCTCGCGGCCCGTCGGGAGGACGCTGTCGTCCCGGGGACTGGGGGCCGGGGGGTGGGGGGGAGCCAGGGCGAGGAAGTCGGGACCCGTGTTGGGAAAAAAGAAGCGGGGCCGGGGTCAGGAGCGCCCCCTACCCCCACCTCCCCCCTCCCCCCGGGGTTGGGGGGGCCGGAGCAGAGAGCACCCAGCCCGGGAGGTGGATGAATGTGGGAGAAAATGGAGACCAAGACGATCGTGTACGACTTGGACACATCAGGGGGGCTGATGGAGGTAAGAGTGGCCCTCCTCATCCCCTTCCCCCAGCGCCGGGAGGGAACCTCCGCCCTCCGCCCCACAAAGCCGGTCCTAAACTCGAAGCGCCCAGAGGACCGAGGGAGGGGGATTCTTCCTCACTTAGCCTCTCCCTCCCCTCTTTGCAATTTAGGGGGCTGAGCTCAGCCTCCGAGGACGTTTGCAGCAGTTTCACCTACCCGCCGCCCTCGATTCGCTCTCCCCAGGCGCCAGCCCACTCCATCTCGTTGCACCGGCAGGCCTCCCCACCCCCTTCTTGTTGGCCCCTTTGTGCTTCCCCCAGCACGTCCGGGTACCGGGCTTCGGGCCTCTCCAGAGCCAGGCTTTGGAGTCCCCCACTGTCCATACAAGGAAGTGGCAAGAAGGGAACCGCGCACCCTCTTCCCATCCCCCTACCCTTGATCCTCCCCATTTGGAAGAAGCTGTTCTCGTTGTTGTGCTGCAGGAACGCGGTTAGGGTGGGCTCCCCCTGGTTCCGGGGGCTGAGAGGTTCTGGGAGCAGCCTGGATGGGAGGAAGAAGGACAAAAGGGGGGAGAGGGGTGGGTGACGGAGAAGCCGCGCCGGGGGGGCAACGGACCGCCCGAGAGCTCCGAGTGTGCACACACGCCGTTTGTATGTGTGTGCAGCAAATCCAAGCTCTGCTGGCCCCCCCCAAGACGGACGAGGCAGAAAAGCGGAGTCGGAAGCCTGAGAAGGAGCCCCGGAGAAGCGGCAGGGCCACCAACCACGACAGCTGCGATAGCTGCAAGGAAGGTGGAGATCTCCTGTGCTGCGACCACTGCCCGGCTGCCTTCCACCTCCAGTGCTGGTAAGGTCCGGGGACCCTTCTCTGCGCATTCCTTCACCCGGCCTGCCCCTGCCTGCCGAAATAACGGGCGCTTGCAGCCGCTAGCTGACTTTCTGCAGCTGCCCGGGCGAGCACCTCCCCGCCCCCAGGTGTCCGCCGGGTTCTGGCAGTTTAGGGGGGAGGAGCAGCGGTGGGTCCGGACCCCGAGGTGGGGGTTGGGAGGAGTGAAGAGAACCCCATATGGGATTGGAAGTCGCTGGGGAGCCGGGACAGAGCCGGCCGGGGACAGCCGGCAGTGGCGGGGGAGGAAGGGGAGGAGCTCCGGGCCCAGTGCCGCTTGCCTGCCCGCGCGCCCGCTGCCCTCGGGGCTCCTGCCCGGCCGGGCTCTCCTTGGGGTGGGCGCGTAGAGCCCTCGGCCACCTGAATTGCAGTGGTCCAGACCCCGGCAACCGGGCGCTTGTGGCTGTAGAAGAAATCATGGAGGGTGTCTCTCGAGTCCGCCTCTTCTTTGCCTCTCTGTTTACAATATGGCGACCTGCCTTTAAATTATATTTTTATTCTCAGCGCCATTTTGGCTGCATATATGATTTGCAAACGTCTCCCGGGGAACGGTGGGGACAGCCCCGGAGTCCTTTCTGCAGAAGCTCCTCAGGGGCCCAGGCTGGGATCTCGCCGCTTTGGTCCCCTTTCTCTACCTCCGCTTGCCCCCGTTGCCTCTCAGAGCTGCCTTCCTTCCTCCTCCCTCTTCCCTCCTCCCTCCCGGCGCCACTGCCTCTTAGGAAATCGGGCTGGGTTAGACAATTAAAATTGCCCTTGGGCGCCGATTTCATTTCTCCGCTCCGGATCGGCGAGCCCTTCGCTGCAAAATTCTTTGCTGCCAGGGGGAGGATTGTGTGCGGTGGCATTGGAAAGGCATTTTTAAGGAACTGAGAGCTGGAAAGCCGTACGCTTTTTTCCCCCTTACTGGACGCGAGGGGAGGGGAGAGACCGAACCGAGAGGGAGGGACGTGGGTTGATCGCCCGCTGCGTGATCCTCCTCAGCGGCTCAGCCCAGAACAATCCGGCAAAGAAGAGTTTAAACTCCATCTTCTGCCGGCAGAAATCACCTCTGCCCTCCACAAAAATCCCACATCTGCGGCAGCAAACCCAGATTTCGTCTTGTTCTACTGGGTCTCCTTCTGTTCTGCAACAGTTGATTGAGGCAGAGGTTTGAGAGAGGAGCCAGTCGGGAGAAAGGAAGAGGGGGTTGTTTCTGTGTTCCCACCAGTTTTTTGATGTTGCCTTTTTTAGCCCTCTGTTTTTGTTTTTGTTTTTGTTTTTTATGTGAAATTTCACCGAAGGTCTCTTAACAGTTCCATTCACGTTCCATCGCTCGGTTTGCGTCTACTATATATTTGTACTAATTGCAGGTTTGGGAACACTTACTAGACAGATGACTGATACTGAGCAAATTAAGTCTGTGGTCAGAAGTTATGTAGGAAGCTCCCATTACCATTCCCAAGATACTTTTGCCCAGGAGGGCACCCCATCCCAGCTTGTAAAATTGCAGGGACAAAAATGATTATCCTAGAGGAAGTTTTGCTGCTGACTTTAAAATTTTTATTATGAAGTGACTAAGGGTCTGTGGTTTTTAGCCTTTATTTCCTATAAGGTATAATCCACCTGGAGAAAATATCTCTGGTCACATTTCCTTTGCTGTTCTTAGGAGAAATTTGTGCCTGAATATACGTTGTGTTGGTTACCAGTTATTCCCAGTTGCTTACATTTTTTTTTTCATGTGTGTGTTTGGTGTGTATACCAGGACTGAGTTGTAGACTTCTTGATTTAAAACGTGGGCTTACATCCTACCCCTAGGATGAACTTGGTGTTAACCATGATGGTTGACATGCATGTTGAGTGAGAATTTGATAAGCTCATTTATTTGATAAAGCTGCAATTGTTTATTAGAAACTTCAGGCATGGGAAAAGTGTGCTGTTTGGTTTGCCTGCGATTGGGCTTTTAAACTCTAAAACCTAACCGCTGAATTTTTTAATTAGGTGAGTCTGAAGTCTTATCAAGTTGTAACAATTAACAGTTTGCACTTTAGATGAAAGGAGAGAGAAGGAGGGACTCTTTAGCCATTGGTGAGATTCAGACTTGCCTAGACTGTGCATTTCATTGAATTTTATTTTATTTTATTTTTTTGAGACATTGAATAGGAACTAGTAATCAGAGATTTGTGAATAGTAGTAAATGAAGTAGTGCTTGTTTAACATCTCCAATTCTCCCTTTGAAGATGTCGGTACTGAATATACCATTGACTTATCTGAGTTGTTATCTAAATCACAAAGCATTGTAGATACTGGTGCAAAGGCAGGAAGTCTTTTAAGTAGGAATTCCCTAGACGAATTTCATTTAGTGAGGCTTATCCCACTTTTCTGCATCTGAAGCCACACTCTTTCCACCAAGAGTCAAGTATTTTACTTTTTTTTTTTCTGAGGCAGGAGTCTTCACTTTGTCACCCAGGCTGGAGTGCAGTGGTGCGATCTCGGCTCATTGCAACCTCCACCTCCCAGGTTCAACAGATTCTTCTGCCTCAGCCTCCTAAGTAGCTGGGATTACAGGTGCCTGCCACCATACCCAGCTAATTTTTGTATTTTTAGTAGAGATGGGGTTTCACCACGTTGGCCAGGCTGGAGAGTGAAGTATTTTATTAACTCAACCAGAGTAGTTAGATCAAGTAGTTAATGTCGCAGAACATTTTTATACTTGAATGTGTTTTCATGAATTTGTCCCCGCCGGGTGCAGTGGCTCACACCTGTAATCCCAGCACTTTGGGAGGCTGAGGCGAGTGGATCACAAGGTCAGGAGTTCAAGACCAGCCTGGCCAACATAGTGAAACCCCGATCTCTACAAAAAATACAAAATTAGCCTGGTGTGGTGGCACGAGCCTGTAGTCCCAGCTACTCGGGAGGCTGAAGCAGGAGAATTGCTTGAACCCAGGAGGCGGAGATTGCAGTGAGCCGAGATCACAACACTGCACTCCAGCCTGGATGACAGAGTGAGACTCCATCTCAGGAAAAAAAAAAAAAATTGTCCTATCACTGCTTACTTGTATCACATGAGGGTAAGGTTATAGTTCCTTTTGCTTCCCTTTTAAATTGACTAAGACTGAATTACTTAGGTAGGCATGATAATGATAATTTTCCTTATGTACAGAAAGTACAAGAGTAAGGTTGAAGCTGAGTATGGTGGTTCATGCCTGTAATCCCAGCACTTAAAGGGGCCAAGGTGGGAGGATCTCCTGAGGCCAGGAGTTCAAGACCAGTCTGGGCAACATAGCGAGACTCCATTTCTACAAAATTTAAAGAAAAAGTGAAGTTTAAATTTTGCAAATGCTGTAGGTATTAATTGCAGTGCTGCTGTGGTTCTCCATCCAAAGCTTTGTGGGATAAGTCTTTTTTCAGTCTCTAGTATTCCTTGCCAGTCTGCCTCACTGTGAACGGAATCCAGTGCAGTGTTCCAGAAGTGGTTCTAGGCAAACTTTACCTCCTGGGCTTAGTGACATAGCTATAAACCACAGGGGATCTTTCTAAGATAAATAGTAAGGAAATGACTAGTCAAATAAGCTGTTTTAATTGTTCTGTGTTTTCTCAGGAGCTAGTGCTTTGTATGAGGCACATCATCTCTTCCCAGTTAGACTGGGAGCACTATTTCTGGATTTTCTGTAATGATTCTCTGGGTGAAGGAATTAATTGTCTTGTGCTCAGTACCATGACTTCACTGAAGAATTAAACTTGAAGAACTGATGTCTTTGTTTTTGATTAAGTGATAGTGTAATCACTTTATCCAAGTTTAACTGGTTTATCAATTATTCAGTGTGATAGTAGGAGTTACTAAACCTGTCCCTAGAGAATTGGAAAGAGATGTGTGTATGGTTTTTTTGTTTTTGTTTTTGCTTTTTTGAGACTGAGTCTTGCTTTGTTGCCCAGGCTGGAGTGTAGTAGCACAATCAACTCACTGCAGTCTCTGCCTCTCAGGCTCAAGCAATTCTCCTTTCTCAACCTCCTGAGCAGCTGGGATTACAGGTGCATACCACCAGGTCTGGCTAATTTTTTTGTATTTTTGGTAGAGACAGGGTTTCACCATGTTGATCAGGCTGGTCTCGAACTCCTGACCTCGTGATTTGCCTACCTTGGCTTCCCAAAGAGCTGGGATTACAGGCGTGAGCCACCACACCTGGCCTTGGAAAGAGATATGTTTTTAAGTGTCCCTTGGTGAACCTGACTTCATCATAATTATCATGCCATGAGTTGAGCTTTCTGAAAGTTCTGGTCACTGAACTGATCCCAAAAAATCTGTTAAAAATGAGAATAACCAGTTCAGCTTTAGTTGCCACTGACCCATCTTTCTGTTTGAGATCGGTAGGATTGTTGTCACTGACAGAGTGAATACCATGGGGCATCAGTAATCAGGATGATAAAACTGGCTGGTTTCCTGTGATTGCCTTCTCATGGCATTTTGCTCCAAACAGACTGAGGGACCAAAATGGTCTGATTGAGAAGTGCATCTACCTCAGCAGACCTCAGCATGGTCCCTTCCTGTCAGACAGATTTCTGTAGCATTTGCCTCCGCATGTTATATTTGGAATTGTTGGCCAGCTTTCCTCTCTCTGGTGTTGGCAGCGAGATCCAAAATGAGGTTTTCGAAGAATGAGAGTAAAAAGGTCTCTGTGCACAGGCAAAACTAAGCTCAACTTGGAGTTTTGCATATTTTCAGTGAGTTGTAACAAAGGTTTCACACATAGAATAGAAAACTGCCTTGCAGAAAATGTTTGATGTTTGAAGTGGGGTTGTTTGTTTGTTTGTTTTTGGAGACAGGGTCTCCAAAGCTTGATCCTAGCTCCCTGCAGCCTCAAACTCTGGGCTCAAGTGATCCTCACACCTAAGCCTCCCAAGTAGCTGGGACCACAGGAATGTTCTACCATGCTGGGCTAATTTTTTAAATTTTTTTGTAGAAACAGGGTCTCACTATGCTGCCC